CCTCGTCAGCTATATAACAAAGGATAATAATGAAGAATAACCAAACAACAGTCATTAAATTGTGAAGAGCCTGGTAGCACCTGGCAAAGTAGGATGGGGTATACCTCAAGTATGTAATTGTTAAGATGTCACCAATAATCATCCAGGTATCCCGTATCCCAGTATGTTCCCGTTCCCGTTCCGCTTGGTGATATATACCTCATAAATAGATATAAATACCCGCATTGTGTATATATATATATATATATTTCCGAATTCATCATTACACTTAATATCTATACGATGCACATCTATGCACAATAACTCATAGAATCATCATTTCACCAAACATCTCTTGGCCCCGCCTGAAGGATTTCTTCTTCTCCAGTTTGCTACGCGGAGACCTTGGAGATGTCTCTTCGATAGGGGCCTCACCAGCACAATGGCGGACACGGAAAAGATCGAAGAATAACACATGATTCCCAAATTCCTACATGGCAGTGTGTCAAAACCTTGTACCCCTGGTGAACATCAAAATAGCTGGTAAATGGATGTTCATCCCACTAAAAATTGTATTAATAGGTATTGATCCATACCCACATTTGTTTATTGTCTCAATCTATATTTTGATGTGTATCTCTGGGGAAAACAATTTATGCTACACCCTTCATCTAGCACAACAGACAAACAAGTTTTCAGCAGCTCGTCCTGCCCTTGCTTAAAGCCTGACCCAATGCCCTGACGCACCTCTTCAATCAAGCCTGCAGCGAAGCTGGGTTTGCATGCTGCCACGCAACAAATCTGGTTGGTGGTTTCAACCCCTCTGAAAAATATTAGGCAGTTGGGATGAGTATTCCCAATATATGGAAAAATAAAAAATGTTCCAAAACACCAACCAGAAATATTCTGGAACAAGTATTTCCGGACACTGTGAATGGGTATCACTGGTATCACCAAATTTGGTTGCTTCATCCGTGAGAATCCCACATCCCACTTGTTGTTTAGTGATACGAAGTCTTTGGGTCGTTGACATTCACCCCGAGGCACACACAAGGCAACCAATAAACGAACATATTTGGGTAGGGTTCTGTACTGGAGACACTCAAAGGTTGGGTTCTTAAGATACCACTAGAGTACTAGACTCATCTTCTTTCCAGAAACAAACGTAGAAAATGATCCACTGATGGATCTGGAACGAGTACCTTGATCCTGAACCCACAGAGGTACGTTGCGCATACTTCCGCATATCTGATTGATATTGGGCTACAACGATGATATGTTGTAAGACACCCCGCATACAGTTTTCAACATGGGGTGACGGACTTACTAGGAGATAAAACTGATGGTTAAATCTCCACTCATACGGGATATCTTCCCTCTGGTACAAATCGTTGGCAAACCACCATATGTCTTACGGTTGTTGTCAAACTATCTATGTTGTAATGTCATGTCAAAACATTATATGATGAATTGATAATGATTGTTTTCCGGGTTGTGAGAAAAATCAAGTACTGTGAAAAACACAATAATAAATCAGATTGATTGTTGACACCCCCATTACATCACCATTATATCCTATATATATATTGTTGATGGTTATACTTCTTATGACATATTCCAAATAAACCTATCATTTAGGGATGGTTTATTGTTACTTTTGACCACATTACTGTTAAATCCGCATGGCCTTCGGTCAAATTGGCCGTGCCCAGCGGCAGAGATTTCACCTCACACTGGGACTCTGCGCGAGAAAAATGTCCGATAGTGTATATCTCATTTGCTAGATAAACCCAATATTATGTCGTTTTATACATTTATATATATATATATATTATATACATATGATACATATATTATATAATTATACATGTATTATATAATTATACATATATTATGTATTATATATATATTATACATATACATATATATATATATGTAAATACTATATATTATATTATATTATATTATATTATATTATATTATAGATATACATTATACATGTATATTATACTTATATATATTATACATATACATTATACATATACATTATACATATATATATATATATATATTATACATATATGTTATACATATATGTTATACATATATGTATAACATATATATTGTTATAATATTTTATATTATTCATATTTATTAAAAATATATATTATATACATATATTTATTATACATATATCTATATATTATCATATATATTAGATACATTTATTTATTATACATATATATATATAAATATTATACATGTATATACATATATATATATATACTATCATATGATTTATATATTATATATATTATATGTACGTTTATTTAAGATATACACCAAATTTGCTTTCGAGTTATCTCATAATCTTGTCTCACCGATGTCATCCTGCTGCTTCTGTTGAGGTTCCATGTTGGATGGCCGAAAATTACACCAGTTTTAGGTGAAATCAACCATCAACCACCACTATGTTCTTTCCCTTCCAGATTTGCCCAAAAAACATCACGCTAGATTCTCCAAATATGGATTGACGTGCCATTGAAATGCTGTTTTGTTTTCCATTGGGATCACAATCGACTCTGCATGGCCTCATTCGTCGCAGCTTGTTTGGCCTGTGGCAGCCGAACGATGCCAACAGGTGCGTTGAGAATGAAAAGACTATCGGACTATCTCTAACACCACAAAGATATCTTTGTGCCCAAACTTACCACTCTGAAAAGTTTTGGTTTAAGTCAGATACGATGTATAGCTCTATCAAACATTCCTAATCATACCAGAAACATGCAGCCATTAACCAACCATATCCCTCCAGGATTTGTGACTGGAAGATGAGTGCGATGACAGAAGTATGAATTGGCTGAATCGGAAAGTATCATCCTCTGTTTCAAAGTTCTTACAGTAAATGCAAAGGTAATCTGCTGAGAAAGGGAAAGAACTGAGGGCTCAACCAACTGACAGCTGGAGAAGACCCGAGAAATAGACAATGACTGATACACATGTAAAGATAAACCAACAATAAAATGTACACTCCTACATGTCTTTTTTTTTTAAAGTATTTCAAGTTTGTACAAATTTCCATGAATAGCAGAACATATCACCCTTGACGAAGACTTATCCAAATCACTTGGCCAAGAAAAAGTGTAAGCATTTGGCATCACCAACACTTGTATAATTATATATATATTACTATATATAATATATAATTGATATATAATTATATATATATTTAATATATACAACTATATCTATATAATATATATATATACAACTGTATATATATATATATACATGCACACTGGATCATACTGGAATATATCAATGGTGATTTGTTTGTATGTTTTGAACAATGGTTCTCAGGCTCATTCCACGAAAGTATACGGGGCCAATGTCGGTAATCAATGATACCAGGAAGTCTGCATCTGGGTAGTGTCCAAATTTCTTTGGACCAGCTGAACCACAACTTTGGTCATCTTCAATTTACAAAGTCCACTGCAGGACACCCTTATGAACCATCCTGTTTTTGGATACCATATCGTCAAAGTTCTCAAACTTTACAGAACAACTCCGTGATGATTTTATGATATTTTATGTTATTAGTTTCACCATCTCGCTTTTATCCAGCATTGGGCAAAAAAAACATGAAAGACAGAATGAATGTTATAATACATACACACACGCGCGCATGAAACTGATATATAACCAATATAACCCCAATTTGATAGTCCGACTTTGGGGAGTCCGATCATATTCATAACTATACGACTATACGTCAATTCAGGACGTTTATGTATGCTATGTGGTAGCCCCCATTGTTTATCATCATTTTCCCAATGAAAACTGTCATCTTAGGGCACAGAACCAATTTTTGGACAAACCCACATTGGGATGTGTATACAGTATACATATACACTATTTAACAATGTATTGTTTTATGAATAAATGATGAAAAATGAATAGCCACTGAGCAAGGATACAATTACTAACTACTAGCTGCTTATCTACTATCTAGTAAATCTAGTACTCAGTACTACAAATAATAGTAATTTGAAATAACAATCCACCCAATCCCCATCTCACCATCTCCACTTTCCCCTACGCCTCCACCTTGGGCTCCGTGGGCTCCTTGGGCTCCGTCCGAGCAGCCACCTACCCATTGCAGGAGGGCTGCAGGAGGCCTTTGGGGCCTTGGGGCCTTGGAGATTTTGGTTTTGGTTCTATTCCATCAATATCCCACTAGTTCCATTATATCTAAACACCCTTTTGCAACTTCCCAGAGATGAAAGAAATAGGAAGACAAGGATAGAAAAGGAACGTCTTTCTTGATTTGGGTTTTTGGTCTTCAATGTAATTATTCAGGTCAGCACTTTGGAACAAAATGGTTGTGACATGCTGGAGGCAACCCCAGGAGTCAGCCACCAGCCCGAAGCAGGTAGATCCGCAGCGGTTCAATGGACCGCGTATTTTTTTGCGACTTCCGTGAAAAATGGTGATGCACTCACTAAATCTCACCAAAATCAGCATTCAATCTGAAAACTGGTTTCCTGAAGATAATTCTACTACTACAAAAGATAGTCCTTTTTGAATCCCATGTTAAATTTACGGGGTGCAAACAATCTGAGGGAGATAGATGAGATAGAGAAGTCGCTAATGAGGATCACCTTCCCAAATATGGCTGAAACCAGGAATAGATCAAATTTCAAATCCGAACAACATACAACCAAAAAACCTTCAAGTGGGAAAGTGTTTCCAACCACGTCACCACGTCGTGGATCAAGCACGGCTGCATTCACAAATCCACTGGACCCCATCGCTGGGAATTCCATGCGCAAGTTCTAGATTTTTGCTGTGTTATCCAACGATATCCAACGTGTTACCCTTTGAAACACTGTTCAAAAAAAACAGTAGCAACGTTTGACCAGTTATTTACCATGTTTTGGCATCGGGAGAGGTCAAATCCAAAATACGCCATCTAAAAATTTGAATCATGGTCGCCAGATGTCGCCAGCAATCTCAAGTTTTCACCCGCTGAGGCGCCGCACAGGTGCTGCCACCGGTGGTCGGGTTGCCATGGGCATCACCGTGTCCGCAATGGGCGCCTGGTCGTGGCCAGAGATGTCCAGGGTGACCATCTCGGAACATCTGGTAGCTTTATGTAGTCACGTTAAAACCAAATTGATCAACCCGGATGTGTTTTTTTTGAATTGGGATTATCTTGGTGTATCCCAATCGGAACACCAAAAAAACAACATATGGGTTATGGGTTTGCATGAAAATATGGTAATTACCCTTAAATCTGCTGGTGAATCATAATATTCCCCATTCAATGGTCATACACACCCATTCAGATCATTTTGTGGGTTAGTATACATCCCATATCTATATCTGTCAATGATATCCCCATTATATCCCTAATATGCAGCCCATTTTCCGAAGTATTGCTATTGCTGGTTTATTCACTATGTTATTGGTGAAAGGTTAAATCCACATTGATATTCCGTTCATATCACCGCTAATCACCATTAGATCGGTTCAATCATATTAAATCATACAATGGAAACTTGAAACATCTTGAAACCGTATGATATTATGAATATGATATCATTCATATGCATTAATACATGCGAAAAAAAAACGCTGATATCCTCATTGTATCCCTATATCCCCTGGATCGCTTCACCTCTTCGATCATGGATTGCACCAAGGGCCGCCGTGGCGTCACTGGCGTCTCCGTGGGAGCGGCTGAAGACGTGGCAGCTGGAGCCGGGGTGGCCTCGGGACGTTTTCCGGTGAGGAGACAAGCTCGGAGAAGGTGAGACGTACTAGCTGTGACTATGCATATATATATAATATATATAATATATATATATTATATAATATATATATAATATATATATATAATATATAATATATATATATATATACAATTATATATAATTAACTATATATATATGTACATATGTGTATGTGCGTTAATATCAGCACTTGAATAATGTTGATATGAATAATATCATCGCTATTTCTGTTAAAATCCATGTACTGATGGCTGAATAACTCTTCACATCGTCAGTTCCCCGATCTAGTCTAGATGCTCATTACGTACCTATAAAAACGTTTTGCAATACCAAAATAAATAGCAATCATCTGCTACGACAATCCAGTTTTGGTTAGGATGGAATTAATCAGAAATAAATTGGTTAAAAACACAGAACATGCAGGTAATGGGTCCTGTCTCTCATGCAGGGTGATAAGCAAATAATTGCTTGGAGAATCACGACAGGAAAAGGACAATCACACAATCATGTGCGCGAACTGAGAATCCTGGAACTGATGGAATGAATTTGCTATGGGTCAAAATTGGGTACCCAAAAAAAATTAGAGGCTTAATACTAAACAGAGACTTAAATCTGTGGTCATCCAGGTCTTTAATTTTGACCCATACCCAATTGTAGTTTCAACTGAAGCTGTGGCATCAGTGTCATGGACACAAAAGGCCTTGGGCGGAGCCATGCCGAAGCTTGGTTTCTCTTCCTGCACTGAATCAGAATTTCCCATGATGAAGAGGATGCAAACAAGAGGAAATGTAACTGGCAAAGAGTAGATGGATATCTGCATATATATATAATTATATATATAATTATCTATATATATATATATATTATATATATATAATATGTATACTATATGTATGGATGCATACAAGATAACAAGGACAAACATGAGGATAATCAAGATGGCTGCACCCAGCGATAAGGTGGAGTTCAGAGTTTTGTTTGCCGTCAGTCAACAGAGGTGGTCACAAGTCCCATAACAGCGATCATGAACCTCAGAAAAACGTTACGAATGGATGTCCTCAATCCGTTTCAACATCCGTTTTGGGATACTTACCTGGGCCAAAAAAAATATACTTCTCAAACCTGAAACCATTTTGAGCACCATATCACCTTCATGTATTGACCATCATTAATTGGTTTTGAACGTCATTAATTTGCCTAGAGTTACCACAATTTTCCACTTTGAAAACTCCCAAGTTTTTGGACATCTATATGAAAACATGAATATCAAACACAATCTGGGCAAACAACGTCATAAGTAGTGTTGCATGGGCAATGATTTATACTGGTTATATCTACGTGGCTTCCAACACGATCCTGCCGATGAGTGTGGGTCAGTTCACCCTGGGTGCTAGGGTCAAAAGATGCCGATAATGGAAATCCGTCCGAGCTATACAATGGATTGATGACCATACCCCAATATGGCAGTGTGTCAAAACCTTGTACCCCTGGTGAACATCAAAATAGCTGGTAAATGGATGTTCATTCCCCTAAAAATGGTATTAATAGATATTGATCCATACCCCAATATGGGGAAACACTGGAATCGCACTGGTACTCCATTGGACTTAATCATATTGGGCCCTATTGGGCAATCCCAGTGTTACCCCAATATATAGATTTATAGATAATTATATATAATATTATATAATGTGGTAAACCCAATAACAAACCATCCCCAAAATCTCCACAGTTGTAGAAAAAATCTCCGCCCAAATGACAGGTTTCTTGGGTTTCCCAAATGATTCCAGCGATCCATTTATCTATCTTTGTTGGTGATATATCCAATATTCACCATTAACCGGTATTAACCACTATTAACCATATTATTAACTATCATTCATCATGATTCATGATTAACCAGTATTAAGCGTTATTAGCACAATTACTAACTATTATTCCATTATTAACCATTATTAACCACTATTAACCACTATTAACCACTATTAACCACTATTAACCACTATTATTCCAGTAAGATTCCAACTTTTCACCATGGCACATCTGACTTCCCTGGCGCGCGTTGCACGCTTTGCGCATCTCCTGGGCGCTGAGCGTGCCCGGCTGCGACCTGGCGCTCCGTAGACAGATGGGGACCCTGAATGTCCCAAACGTATATATATATATATATGTATATATATATATATGTATATATATATGTATATATGTATATATGTATATGTATATATGTATATATGTATGTATGCATGTATATGTATATATATATATATATGTATGTATACATGTATTGTATACATGTATGGAAGTGTCCTGAAATCAAGGTACCCCAAAACCATGGGTTTCAATACTAAAATGGTCTAAGTTTGGATGATTTGGGGTACCCCTATTGTAGGAAACCTTCACATAGATATATATATATATATAGATAGATAGATAGATACATATATTTACATGATAATGATGCATTGTAGATGTTTTTCTTGGTGGGTGTAAGTATGTGTAAGTTGACAATTTTCGATGGGTACTTTCAGTGTCTAGGTATGAGAAACATCTATGTGCATATATGTATGTATACATCATAGTGAGGTGTAATTATCTGTGAACATATGGCAGAAACCATACAAAATATAAACACTGCCCATGAATCACGGAATATTGGGACTGTTATCCATTTAAAAAGTAAGCGCGACGAATGACATCTATACAAACTACCTGTGCAACGACTTCCCAGGTAAATTGGTTGTAATCCTTGCAACTCCCAACAAAAACAAATGAAACACCTCAAAATCACCTCTACTAAGAAAATCATCCAAACTTTGAATATGGAGCATATCTATTGATGTGTCACTTTCCCTCTAAATGTGGTATGTTTACCTATTTGAATGAGTGCCTAATGAACGTCTAGGTAATGTGGTAAACCCAATAGTAGCCCCCTTCCTTTGAATATTATATGGTTCAGGGTTTCACGTACTATACTCTGAATATATATATATATAATTATATATATATACCGATCCTTACTAATCTAATGGCATATACTTTATGTTTGTTCGTTTATTACCTATCCAACTATGGTGATACTATCCTTACCATCCCCCCGAATTCACATAGACCCTACCAAATAGGAGGTTGGAAGATTGATTTCCACATGTGTCCACTCAAACAATGCTATTTTCAGGGTCTATGTTGGTATATAGCCCAGTATAGTTACTATGACAATTACTGGATTTAGCTCCCTGGGGCACCGGGTGCGAGCCTAACCAGCTCGGTCACAGCCTGCTACTTGTCAGCGCTGGGGATAGGTATGGATAGGGATCTGCTGGACATACATACATACTGATAGACGTGTATATATATATCATATATATATAACTATAATATATATATATATATATTATGTATATATATATTATTGTATATATTAAATTATATATATTAAATTATATATATATCAGAAATAACAGTGTATAATATATATATACACATATCATTGATATATACATAGATAGATATGGTGATGGATATGAATGAAACATATGAAAACTAGAGTACTGTAACATACTGTAACTAAAATAAAACTGTAACACATATCTTTCAAAGCCGATTTTAATTGCACCAAAGCTTTGTTTTTCGAACGTTTGATCCAGTGTGGGTATCCCAAGCAAATGGTTGAGGAGATTTTTCGGAACCCTTCAATGTTGTACAGTCATCAGGTTTCTTTGTTCCAACCTTCTGTTTCGCCTTGCTCATCCCCGAAGGTGGTTGCTTTGATTTTACGATTTAACCCCTTCTTTTCAAAGATGGGCATGTGTGGCATTACTGCAAATTTAGGCCGGCAAATTTGCAATGAGTTTGACCTCCCTTCCCAAGTCCTTACGCACTTTGATTGCATTCCGGACTGATCAGGCTTTGCTGCATTATTTGCGTCGAAATATTCCAAAACCAAAGCCTGTGTACATTAAATGAGGTGGGAGGGAGGGTTTACATTTTTTATCGATAAAGAAACAAAATCAATGCCGGATCTGATTTTAATGCTGCGAATATCCGCAGCAATTTGAGTTCTCGAGTTGACGCCAGAAAGGCACTTAACCAGCGAGGCTACGTGTCAGAGTGGTGAGTTCTGACACTGGCGCTCAAATCGAGAAGTGTATACCTTTGGTAAACTAACATAACTATGGAAAATCACCATTTTTAATGGGAAAATCCACTATAAATCACCATTTTCAATAGCTATGTTAAATTACCAGAGGGTATACCTTTGGATCGCGTGCGCGCTCTGCACAAAAAGTCCTTGCTCTCTGATGCCTGGTATAAACAGCTTTGGGATTGCAACCAATGACTCATCTCTTTGGTGAAGACCTGGATGTCCAGGAATAGATGTCCAATGAAAGAAAGTGTTTGCCACTTACTTTCATGTTTGCCCAATAGGCTGCGGTTTTATCCCCAATGTATATGATAAAATGATCCATTGTCCCACTTAGTGTTGCGGAACAATTGGTGTGAGGAAACAATTGAAAAACGTATGTTTTGATGGTAAGAACCATGGTTTCTGCAAAATGTACCTCAAATAAACTCAGTGAATGTGATACTCTTGGATACAAATATTCATGTATAATATTATATATATATATATTTAGGATTAATTAGGTACATACCACAGATATATCACTTTACATCAGATGTGTTTTTCACTTTTGTCGGCCAAAATCCCCACAAAAAGGTTCGAATCCAACGCCTGCTGCGCTGCGTCTGCCAGCTGCTTCGCGTGCCTAGCCTCCTAGTTTTGCTCTGAAATGGAGAGGATATCACCAAGAAATCTGATGAGTTTCCGTGAGATCTTGGGAGTTCATGGGGTAATTGACATGCCCAGCAAAAATTGTGAGTTGACTCCACGAACACCATGGATAAATCGTTCGTCGTTCGTTTCAGTCAGATTGATTACCATGAAATATTATGATTTCATCAGCTAACAGGCGTTTTCCGTCGCTATGTTGCACTACCAGACCAAAAGGGATTAATTTAATTAATCCACAAGAATCGGTATGTTACCCTCTTGTGGTACTTTCACCTGCTGGTTGCACTCCCGTGTTGGTTTATATATACGGGGATCAAAGCCTGTCAGTACCTTGGTCTTCACATTGAACTTGCTTGCTAGCGTAGCTGGTTGTCCAAAATGAGGAAGTATCCCAAAATGGCGTTTCATAGGATTTGGGGGACTCTATTTTCCATCAAACGCATTTCCGGAAATGCTTGTGAGTGAAAATCCTGGGTTCATTCATCATTCAACCAAGTCTTAAAAAAAAAAACTAGGTTCTAACCCATCCCCATATCACCAACAATGGCTACCCCCAGGGTTCTCCTGAAGCGCTGCCTTGGCTGCCTTTGGGATCCCACCGGTGCTTCCAAGAATAACTGAAATGTGTCTTTCAGATGTGTTGGAGATATTCTCATGCTTCCAACTTATTGATACTGATATTTTCTCGTAGTTCAAAGTGTCGGTCTGTTTGGTCCATTTGGGGGTTGCTATGCAGGAACCTGCATGGTAGCGCGTGCCAGGGTGCTTTGGGGATCTTAATCAAAGCAAACAAAAACTGGATTCCAAGCATACGCCCAAAAATTGATGGTTGGTTAATGGTACGTAAAGTAGGGATATAACAACATATAACAACCTCGATTACAACAGACCTTTGTCACTTGTGTCGCGGCTGATCTGACACCAATTTGTTGATTTGGGGTATACGATATACTGGATTCCCCAAGCAAAAACACTGATTCATCATGTTCCCCAAATTACGGATTTCTTGAGGGGCAAGACTTGCAAGATGGCAAGTCCCGAACTTTCAACCCCAGCTGGTTGATATTTGGCAGTGTGTCAAAACCTTGTACCCCTGTAGTTCACATCAAAATAGCTGGTAAATGGATGTTCATCCCACTAAAAATGGTATTAATAGGTATTGATCCATACTCATTTCCATTCTTGGATTGTTGGTCCTTACCTTTTTCAAACCAGCCTTCAAGGCCAATTCCTGTGGAGATTCCCCCAGGACCGCATCGAAGTCCTGTGGATGTTGAGTAAGAAACCCAAGCTGCGTAAGGGACCACATGACATGGGGTTCCCCCCAAAAAAAAACATGCCTAGGATGGTAAAGATAGAGGACAAGGATATTTTCTGTGAATCTAGCTAGTAGCCCGAAACAGCCTGCCATCAAGCAACCCATCAGGGTAAATCCTGTTGGTCTTTTGAGATCCCAATTCCGTTTGATACCGACATTCTGTTTGAGTCACCCCTCATATGACTCATGCAATACATATACCGTGATATTCCCGTTCAATTGAGAAATTATTGAGGTATTAACGTTAATCATACTTTTTACAAGAATAGGACTAACATGGATTACTGAAACATACTGAAACCAGTATCAATCTGTTGTCAGATCCTTGATCAATTAATGCCATGATAACCATAGAAACCACCAACCACCTCAGGGTTAAAAAGAAAAGGGTTGGTGTTAAAAAAAGGGCTGTGAGTTGTGAGGGTTAAAATGCTTAGTCCTCCATAAGGAACATAATTATTCCACAGATAAACACTGTTTTAACTATCTTTGTTATGACCAAACGCCATGAATAAATAATGGATTACTCCACACATAAACCCCACAATAATGGATTACCCCATCAATCATGGATCCCTTTATTTACAGAATTTCCACCAACCAATGTTTGAAACCACAAACCACCATTTTGCGCGTCCTCCTCTTCTTTGGGGTCGACGCAGGCGCACAGGTCCTGCACATCGCATTTCAGGAGAATTATAGAAATAAATAAAATTAAATAAAATTGATATACTAATAGAAATGGAAATTGTATTGTAATTCATCAAATTTTTCATAATGGAATTAAAAACAATTATACAAATTATAATTACAATAGAAGGAATATTGTTTTTTAAAAAATGAAATAATCAATAATGATTGTTGTTTTCATTTGATGCTTTGCCGCTGCGAGGGAAAGTCATTACATTGATCCTTTGAAATGTGGGTTGAGACCGTGCTTGTCGACTGGACACCAACTGCGATGCACATCCAAACACCCAGTTTATCATCACCATTATACTGATTAGCACTTGTTCTGACCCTTCTGCTGTTGGTTGGAAAATGTTGGCAAATCATAGCCCTAACGAAACAGGAGGTGGTCGCTATCATGGTCATCTCCTGCGGCCGCATGAAGGGCACCCATCGATCGAAGCGCAGCACGCATTCCATGGGACCTAGGGACGTTGCGACGACTCATGGAGCATATATTTTGGGCCAGTTACTATACCATCTAAATCGATCAGAAATCTATCAGAAATCTGAACATCATGTAACATATGTAAACCTGAAAGATTCTGAAAGGATGGGGTCTAGATGGTTAAAACCATCCGATCATAGATGCTACCTGGGCCTCCCACGGCCGGACGCCGCGCGGCGAATCGCTGCGGTGTCCTGGGCATCGCAAATCCAAGCCTGGCGCCATACGCGACAACAATGGGAATCGGGATATGATGGGAATATCATATCAATGGACATAAGTGCAATCAGAATGGGAATACAATAACATGAACTTCTGAACATGTTATGTATATGTGTATATATATATATATATTCATATATATTCAATAATGGGAATACAAGACCGTGTGAACATTCGTTAGGAAGGTAATTTGATGTGATGATATATAATACGGATTGATGGGATATGATGAGGATATGATAAGACATAACATGATATGATATCATGTGATGTGATAGGATAGGATAGGATATGATGTGATATGATATGATACGATACTACAATTTATCGTGATGGGATATACATGTAAGCAAATGCAACGGTATTTGACTACAATACTTAATGGACTTTAGTGGATATTTCGTGGGACACTCTATCAACCAACCATGATATACTGTAAGATTTTGATGTCAAAGGGAATATAATAACAACTATATATATATGTGTATATATAGAATGTGCTATTCATTATTTAGGATGTAAAACATTGAATAAACATAGAATCTCAGGAGTGAAAAACCACGGATACGATTGATGGGATACAACAGGATACGATTGATGGAACATAATACCAGTACTGTACAATCAACAGCATGATATTGGTGTCAAACAAGGGGAGATGGCCCATCTTGACATCATCGAAGCGACTAACGAGCACTGGGTTTCCTTGAACCACGGCGCTACTATTCTTCACAATGTCTGTTCCTGTTCTATTTGGAATTCACATGGCAGCACTTCTATTAAACTTATTTCGGAAATTATGAATCCCATTCCAGTATATATCAGTACGGATGTTTCTGTCCTTGTCAAATAGTCCCTTTTACAGCCGTCTTGTTGACGTCGACGTATCCCCGTCTGAATCAGACCCAGCGCACCAGAAAGCTGGGAAATCCGATGGACCGTTGAGGGTCCTGAGGTGTCTTGGCGTTGTCAAAAAGTGGAGGCTACCCGAAAACTCTCCCTTTGATGGAAAAGTGATCATCAACCATAAGATTTTGGGGTACTTGTTGGGGTACTTGCTCTCTATACACTTGTGCAACAGAGGTACATGACTACCATCAGATTTGAAATGGAAACCATGGGAGCTGAAGCCAGTCCTTGCTTCCTTCAGCCTGGGCGACGTGAATCTGAGGTTTGCTGGTGGGAAAAAAACATGTCTTTGAGAAAGTCTGTGCCCCTGACTTTGGAGATAATCCCAGAAGTTGAACATAGAGGTTGAAGAAGGCCACATTACGGAGCCGTTTGTTCGAGGGATTGGGTGTTGGGGTGGTGGTGTGTTTGTTTCGGTTCAAGTCGAAGACTGTCAACTCTTGTCATCTTACTATATGCAGGTATCTGGCAAAACCCCGCAGGTATGTACAGGATCCCAGCTGCGAAATCGAAACGTAAGATCACATTCCAGCCTGTTTACGACCCTGTGGTGAACAGTTCTACAAATCTATATGACAGAATGATTGGCAAACTTAGACTATCAACTAGAATAGTGGCCACTAATTATGGGGAACCATCTTGTTGTAATATACAGTACATGGATGTACATGGATGGTCTGGGAAATGACCAAAGTGAAGCAGCATCAACCCAGCTTCGACCATATGCATAGGGTCATCTATAGCAAACAAACACTTGAACAAGGAACCCAGGGCAACCCTTTTCGGACAGCACGTGAAAAAACTTCAGTGAAAAAAACAAACATGAGTCTTATCAGTATATGCATACTGTATCTATTCTACATCTATACTACATCTATACTCTATATATACACGATATATTCTGATACCATATAACATATATATATATGTACCAATCAATATATATATATATATGATATGATATCAACCCAAACCCTCAACACTTTCATGGCCGCAGCTGCCCCACGTTGCACCTCGTCCTTGATTGCGTGATAATCCAAGAGCTGCATCAGGTCTATGTTGCGCTCAGCCTGGCACCGGGGGAACGTAGAAAGGTTGTTGGGGGGATATCTATCTGTTGTTGTTTATGATATATATGGTGCTATATATATATATAATTGGGTTTACCACATTGTATCGAAATCATATATCTATCTACCTACCTACCTATCTATCCATCTGTCTATCTGTCTATCTATCTGTCTGTCTATCGATCTATCGATCTATTTACCTATCTGTCTATTTATCTGCCTATCGATCTATGCGTCAATCTATTTATTGTCTGTCTATCGATGTATGTATGGATGGCTGGATTGTATCTTCATATTCCATTTATGTAGTGTTCGTATATTTTGTAATAATTATATTTAACATGTGTATAAATACATAATTAATTAATAAATATATATATATATATGTGTAATGTTCATATGGGCAGAAACAAAACTATCCCCAGGCGATTCACTGCTCCAGTCGCCTCTTCACTGCTCGCCCAGGCGCCCGTATCTCCCTTGCACAATGCCCAACGCTCCGCCGACGGAGAAATGGTCCCCAACGGTTCCCCAGGTAGACAGCCGGTTATAGGGACTGAAATGAAGTACCCTCTGGTAATGGCTGACATAGCTATTGAAAATGGCTATTTATAGTGAGTTTTCCCATTAAACATGGTGATTTTCCATAGTTACGTTAGTTTACCAGAGGGTATGGGTTTGTCTGAAAATATGGTACCCATTGGTACCCTATTTTTTTTGTTCATCACTACTAGATCGCATATCTGGGGGTATAGCCTTTTTTAAGACACACTCATATGTTTTTGGTGAAATGGCAAATCATAGAGGGAACGAAACTTAGGTGATAATTTCAAACAAATAGCCATGGAGAAAATCTTCTTAAGAACGAAACAAGGAGAAACAAAGATAGGCTACGAAATATTACAATGGGGCATGGGAACCATTTCTGACCATGGATCATCGTGGATCCATTTCCAACAGGCTTAACAATCGGCTTATTGTCAGCGAAGCAAGAGGACCTGCCATCCCCACATTTACCTCAATGGGCTGAACGGGTGGTATACATCATCAAACTTTGGTTGGCTGATTATTGCTTTACTAACAAGAATTAACATGATTTTACATGCCACATCTGGAGGCTTCAAACATTCTGATAGGATCTGGTTGCTACGGATCCCAGGATCTTAAAGGGCTTGCAGCCTTGTAACGTTGGGAAATTTGGGGATGGGCTAAAAGTCAAAACCATTCCCAAAATGGTATGAAGATCCATACCCTCTGGTAATTTAACATAGCTATGGAAAATCACCATTTTTAATGGGAAAATCCACTATAAATGACCATTTTTCAATAGCTATGTTAGTTTACCAGAGGGTAACTACAGACTTTGAAGCAAAATCCAGGGCTTCACCAGTGTTTCGATACCTAATGGCATGATTCCCCCTATCCTAACCGGTTTTTTTCAGGGCTCTGTTGCAGTGACATGATGAAAAAGAACTTGCCCAGCAATATGCATCCCAGCTAGAAAGTGGTTACGATCCACATTTACATAATTAACATGATATAACTAGATACATAATACCTAAACATATAACGCATAATATATATATATATATGCATATGTATATATAATATATATATATATACATAGCTCGGATAAACATCCCGTTTGCGCGTCTGAAAATGAGGTACACCCACAGCTGAGCCGTTGACCTGTCTGAACAGCGTTTGCAAATCCTGCGGGCTTTTTTTGGTCGGTTGCAATCCGTGCAACTGGATGGATATGTGACATTTGTGGTAAACCATGGTAAACCAATCAGAAGACCCTCGCCCATTTTCCAAAGTTATTCAAATTTGGTGGATAGTCGACACATGTCGACACCACATCCAAGAAATATCAAGAAATGTGTTGGGTTTACCCGATGAATCCATGGGAATCCCATTTCCATGATTCCCTTCTAGATGAGCAACGATGAGAACCGAGACAAACCAGAGGTTGTTGGGAGCTGGTATCCAATACTACGGGGCTTCATGGCCATAACCCAGATACAAATTTGGGAGAAACCCTGGAAGGCTTGGTAACCAATGTCATAGTCGTAAGCTACGTAGTAGTTGGGATGCATGTCCAAGTACCCACATCGACCAAATACACCATATCAGACCAATCCCATCCCTGTGGATGTCTGAAAATGGGGCAGCCGCAAATTTGAGGGTTGATAATCTTGTCTCTCATTAATATTGCTCTTTTCGGAGTACAGTATACCCCATTGGCAAACCCTTGTGTGATTCATAGGATGTCGTGTCAAACACAACACCCTCTGTTCCAAAAGTTCAGGGTGACCAAATGTGTTGGGGAATCCTCTTTGTGGAGTTCCAGCTGGTCTTCAGTGGTCATCACCTGTATTGCTTGCATTGCCCTTTTATCATTTTTACCAGTGATATCCCGATGATATCCCCCATGCTTTTTTCTGGTTGAAACCAACATATGTTTGAAAGCGACGCGTCATATATATGATATATATACATACATATACATACATATACTGCATATTGTAAATGTATATACTTATGTGAACCTTGACCCTCGAAGTGCCCATAAGAATAGGTACCAAGTAGCACAATTCTTGGGAAATGGACCAATACCAATGTTTATGGCAAAGTGTATGGGTATCTTATGCATCTTTGGTGCTCTGGAGATCCAATCATCAGTCATCCTGTTCTTTCGTCAAGGACTGGACCCCCAGGGTTCATTGTGGTTGGTCCCATAGTCCCATTAAGATGTAACATTCCCATTACATCCCCATACAATGGTTGGTTAATCCCCATGTCACCCATGTCACTCCCTTCAATTTTCATGATGTTTTAAAAAGCAACCTGAGTTGCAGCCACGTAGCCGCCCAGCTGACGCCGGCGTCGCCGTCTAAATCAAGGGCCATGAAGAGTTCATGTGCTATATCCTGGAGGGAGAGGATTCGCTGTTCACTCCCTGCTCCAAAATTCCAAACACCTTCTGAGACTGTATTTGGGGTTGGTTTACGGGATCCAAAATGATCCAAACACATTCTGGAGGACATTTGAAGCACTATAGTCACTAAGGATTCTTCACCACTTTCTGTTTGAGTCAAAAATGGGGAAAACGAAACTTCCCCTCTGGGAATTCGCCGTGGCAATGATCCCAATTCATCCATCCGACTGGTGCAGTTATCGACAAAACTACTTCTACAATAACCCTGGTCTTGGTAGGTAAATACTGGTATGCCAACACGATGGCATGAGGAATATCACCTGTTTTTCTGGCAATGTTTCCTAACTTGGCCTTTGTTTGGCGAGATTTCATGATTACCCCCATGCTTCACTTGATGGACTCTGCCGGAAAATCCACGTACATGTCCGAACAGAAGCAGACTTCTGCAAGAAAAAAATGTTTTTTTTCCCCGTATGTCATGCCAACAGTGCTGAAAGGCTGAAGGATGATGAGCATCACGGCGACACATGCAATTTCCAGTGTGACCCGTGTATCAGGTTTCCATTCTCAAAACACCTGCAATTAAGGTTTGGCAGAAGTACCAAGACTATGGTGCAACAATGTGCAACAGTGCAAAATAGAAGAAAAAAACCGTCAAATTGAGGGTACAAAATGGTACAAATATCTAAACACTTTTGGATTGGCCAAACACATCCGTGACTCATCCCTCTGCCGCTTTCTGCCCAGTCCTTCACGAAACTGTGGTCGCAGTAACGATGTCCACGCCAAGCCAGGAACAGGAAGAGCCTGCCATTGTTGATCTGGGGACATTGAGGTACTGCTGAGAATTTGGCTATGATATCAATGGACACACAACATTGGTCTGTAGTACTTAACCACAACCATCACCTATTACAGAGGAAACCCCTCACATTTGGCTGATAAAACGAAACGTCTATGCATGAGTGTACCATCTGAAGTTTTCGGTAGAATGGAGGGGAATGCGGCATGATTGTGGGACGGCACTCACGGCACTCAACGAAGCTACCACAATCATAGGATTCAGGGTCTCATCAACCTAGCGTACCGGCTACTTGCTGGTTTTTAACAATGACTGGGCCAAACCAGAAACCCAGCATGCCGGTTTTCCCGTTTGTTGTCTATCACTTTGAGGACTGTACGGCTTTTGCAATCTGAATCTTTTGGTGGAACATTTCTTTTACGGCATCTTGGGCGAATGGCCAGTGAGGTTTTCTTCCAGCAGTTGTTCAGGGACATTGACATTGGCGACATGTTTTCCGACACTTTGAGATGTCAATTTGAGTTAGCATCATGGACGGATGTGAGCGTCGCCTTCTGCAATCAGTGCTTGTGATTTCCATCCTATCCTCTTAATGCGTATATATATATATATACATGTATTTATTTGGCGTTATTTTCATTAAAGATGTGTATGCCCTCAAAACCCCTCTGAAGAATATTGATGACCCAATCAGTGAATGGGGATCATCATCCCGGCTAATCTAGTCATCCTCAGAATGGGAATGAAGAAATCATGGACATCCCCTTCTGAATGGATTGATGACACCCAATTCTTGCATAGTTTTTCATAAGCAAATCATCAGATGGGCCATCTTCCACAGCTGAAAAAAAAACCGGAGGGTAAGTCCCCATTAAATCACCATAGATCACCATTAAAAATCCCATGAATTCACCATGTTTGGTGGTAATATCAAAAGAAAACTTGCAATCCTATTGAATCACCAATCACCGTGAAATCCATGAAATCCCATTAAATATTTACAATTCCCAAATGAACCAAAGAGATTTCCCGGAAAACCGTAGCCGGAGCGACTGCTCGTCCACAGTGTCAGCCTCCGACTTCCACAACCTGTGACGGACAGATTGATAGCCGTGGGGATCATGGAAAAATCATGGAAAAAAAGGTTCATTGGACTGGTTTAAGGGAAATCCTACATGAAACCATAGGAAACCCGGGTTAAAATGCCACCTATCTAGAGGTTTCAAATGTATGTTCCCCCCTTAAACCAATCCAAGGACCCTGGGGTGACAGATATGAGAAATATGGCCGAAAGTCATATTGGGATGGTAGTTTGGTTTGTTCACTATAAGCTGGTTTTTTATTCTATAATGTACTGAATCATGGGTTAAAAAAGTGCCAAATGGCTTGCGAGGAAGCTATATACTGCAACCCCAAATAGTTGAGCCACTCATCACCAAAGTATATAAATCAAATCTGGAAAATAAGAAGTATGAAACCACCAACCAATTAAGGTTATTTTCCGTAGTTCCCGCCTGAAGGCGAAATTGTGGACAAACTAAACCAAGATTTACCCAGTGCCCCCAAAGTGCCCTGCAACTTGTGGACATGCATTGGAATTCGGAAGGAGAAACTAGTCGAAAGGGAACGAATTGGTTGACATAACTAGACGGGTACCAACCCTGTCCGGAGACCAAGAAAGCTGGACAAGTTAAGATTGTCATTCCGTCGTCAAAGTACCCAAATTGTCTCTGGGAGGTCTTCCTCTCGACACACTCCAAAAATCCGTTGATCCATGGGTACTGTCCCTGATATTCAATAGATAGGGAACTGCAGATTTACTTTAGAAGAAGTTTTCTCCCACTAGAGAGTGCGTTCTTTAAGTTTACTCATGTTTACTCCATGGCAGTGAAAATGCCATCCACAGGGACAATCATATCTCAAGACACCTGGAACCAAAGCCATGTCTGTAACCATCCAACGTGGCCAGAGATCGATCCTAGCACCTATGATGTGACCGTCAGGGGGTTGTATATGCCCAATGTCCCGATGTCAACCAGGCTAAGAGGGCCAAGGTGTTGTTACAACCAGGGATATTATATGATCTATGCCAGTAGCAGGGGCAGCAAAGCGAGTTCAACATTACCCTGTCAACGTCTCCAATACCAGTTGTTCCGTCATGTTCAAAACCCGTGAAATCCATGTTTTATATTGTTTTATGGAACATGTTGGCAACCCTGTAGATAACTGGGCAAATCAACCATGAATAGACGTCTTTTACTAAGCATGGACCGGTTGTAAACCATGATCCATGTGATTTCCCAAGGACTGTAACTGGGAAAACCTATTGCAGTCCAGGTCCCATGACTATTCTGGATGTCATATTTGGATGCCTCAGCCAATTAGACCTTCCCCAGTTACGAGTAGTGCAGGGTGGTCAGCCACAAATCACAAATAAGTTCCACATTGATGATTCATTGATGATTAACCTCTCTAGTTACAGCCTTTCAATAGCAGCCCTTTCCTTTTCAGATGCTTTTATATGGCCAGATAGTATCTACCCACATCTAGCACCTGACCTCCAAAGCCGTCGCCACTCTTCTCCATTCCCCAGCGGCAAACCTGCCGCAAAAACTGGTGAGTTGCTGGAAGATGTTTGGACCATACAAGTATAAGTATATAGATCAGTAGATCATCAATTTACCAATATCAAAAGTTTACTTTACGTGACAAAATAGGTACTTTACACCACCATCATGCTGATACTTTTACCATGCTTGTGGGTACTTGTAAGGTCTATCTAGCAGCCTCCTTAGTAACAGGCATGATTGATGCATTTTATGGGCTTATAGCCTTAAATGTCCTTATTTTCTGTTCCTTTGTTTCTCCCTTGGAAACCAAAGGAAACCAAAGGAACACCAAACCAAAGGAAACCAAAGGAAATCAAAGGAAATCAAAGGATACCAAAGGAAAAAAGAGATCATCTAAGAAGAAGTTATTTTAGCTAGTTCCTTTTTGTTTCTTGCTGTTTCTTTTGGTTTCCTCCCACAATTAAAAGCCATATTTTGGTGCAACCCATGCGTTGGAGACACTGCTAGCTTTTGGCCCATACCTTGGTGGAAATGTGGAACACTTGTTACAGAAAACACACTTGTACTGATAGGGGAAAAAGAAGACAAAAACGAAACACAAGAAAACCAGAGGTTTCAAAGGAAAGGGCAGGGTGATCAGAGGAGAACATCGGATCATGTAAGGTGGCCCTGCTGTGAAGAATGCATGTTCCATTGGTGTTACTAAAGTTCCTATGAAGTCTAGGTCATGGTAAATCTCTTTGAACATCGCAACCTAGAAGTGTAACAGCTCGTAACCCGTCAAGCAAATATGATAGGGACAATGTAAGCACCAACGAGCAGGTGATTGATCATCAGGAATGGGTCACTACTCATGTGTCCATGGCTGATGTTGGCCAAGTCCCTGTTGGTAAACTCCTCAAATCAATCGATCTGATCACATCTAATCATCTGATATCCTGCCTGCGTCACTCCCCCCGTCTACGAAAGCGGCAAGTTCCAGGGAGCGAAGCACCTGAAATGACAACAACAGGGAAGGGGTAACGTGCAAGAACAATGAGGACGGACAGGAAGGAAACAAAACATCAAAATGGAACGCATATGATAGAAGCAGCATAAAAAAAAGGAACGTCAAATATGATGATATGTGATGATATGTGATGATATGATGATGTATTCTATATACATCATTTGATTATGATTATCATTCATAGTCTCGTTTGATATCATATTATGTGAGATACTGCAACCTTAACAATCCCAGGCCTCAAAAAGGCAATTTACTTCGACACGTGTAAATACCGAGTTTAACCATGGTGGGTCCCCCCTATCTCCCCCTGGCACCACCTATTAAGCCGGAACATACTGCCGGACGACTCATGCGCAGCAGTGTATTGGGTGGAAGAGCTGACATAGATTTTGGTCAAATCCTTGAACCTAGATGGATCCGCCTGAGCTGGCACCCCCCAAAGTCTATATTGTTTTTTTGGTCCTGTTTTTGTTGGATCCCAAAGCTTTGACCTCCACAGTAATTTGACCCACAGCCAATCCCCCCGGGAGACAGCAGGAAAAGAAAACAAGACCAGACGGTCAAACTTAGGATTTAATGTGTCAAACTTCGACGTTGGAAGGTCTGCCTTGGTCGCAGCGTCAAAACCGAGCTCGCCCTGGCGTGGTCGTTGATTGCATGGGATAGTCATAGTGGATTTGACCAACAATAATGGTGTATTGGGTATATAATGGGAATACAACCATCATATACAGGAATATCCCAAGTAGCAATAAAACCATAAAATGATAGGATAATATTAGCCATTAAAATGGGAATATGATTGGTATACAACCAAGCAAATGAGATGCATTCATCGGCAGGACATGCATGTTTTGTGGAATATGATAAAACTGATGGGATATCAAGACATGTTGTAATGAGTATTAATCAATGGGATGTAGGAAAAGTAGTGGGATGTAAGGGGATGTCGTGGGATACGCATACATTGTAACATAATAGAAATAATTACATAGCGGTTACGGGTTTAGATATCGCCGTAATATAGCCAACATGAAGCAACCGGCCGTGTCTGGAAAACGGAGTTGGGCCATGGAGTTGCTGGTGAATGGGTATTAAAGCGCATTTACACAATAAATAGTCGTACACATAAGACTGCGCATTTTTAGTGCACTATTCTGGTAACTGTCGTCAACTTTTGTGGGTAGTAGGTGTCTAGATACACACCCATTAACAATCAATCCAAGATCAAACCATCCCTGCAGTCGGATCAGAGCAGAATTGGATTTCATGACAAATTCCTGGATACCTTCTGGAAAAAATATGAAAAATGACATGACAATTCATGACAATATGACAATGGATGACAATGGCAAATCTCCAATTTGTATCCATCTACATAGATCCTTGACCCATCAAACATTGGATTATCTTTTTTGCTTGCCAAAGGGTTTTCATTCGATAATATATAGTCCTTTACGACAAAAAGAAAGCGAGACCAGGAACTTTCAGCTGGATATTATCGGAATATTGATTGTGGAAAGAGTCGGTTTCAAATCCCACATCGATTATGGAATATGGGTATGGGTCAAAACATATCAAAACGCTGTATAGTACAGCAAAATAGCTGGCAAATGGAGGTTCGTCCCCGGAAATATGGTTCCATATGGTGGTATTTCATAGGTTTTGATCCATCATGATCCCTCCCCATATTGCTTGTGGATATGAGAACCTTGTTATATATACTGCTATACTATGTTCTACTACGTATAATATTGTCTGCTTGGTGGTTTCAAAATGTTTCAACTGTTTCAACCCCATGCCGATCCCAGCTTTTCTCTTTCCAAAGGAAACACAAACACTTCTCGACCACCAAGCGACGGTAAAAATCTTCCAGTGGTCTTCCAGTCCCCAGTTTGAAACAAACATGCTACAGGATGCTACAGCTTTGTGTGCTGTTCCCACCATCCAATTACTTAGGTGTTGATCCATTTGAAAATGGCATCTTCAACCCATCACCACTTCGTACTTTTAGTTAGTCATGTTCATGGGATTTCATGGGTACATTTCTAGTGTCTGGATACCAGGCGAGCTGCTGCAAGCGAACCGCTTCATCTGGCGTTTGGAAAGATAGAAGATAACAACTGAATCAACAGAACTAGATCAATTACACAAGTAGTTCAGAATTAGATGTACGTCCACGAATGATCAACACACAAACAGGACCTTGTCAGAATTTGATGAACAGAAGAGTAAAAGATAATGGCGCCCTGTAGATTTTGTATTTAATCAATCCGTTTTGAGCTCCTTCAACAAGTCAGTGAAACTGTCTCCATCCAATTGACCGTTGCTCGCATGGCTGCACTGGTCGCCATGCGGTGCATCGAGCAATTCTCGGCAACACACACAACTCCGTGCAAGAGAAGTGACAAAAACATAAACCTTTGGTTCTTGAGGATTCCAACATGTTTTTCAAAAGGCTTTGCTTTCGTGTCTCTCTCTGAGACAAACTTGAAAAATCGAGTGTGCCCCCAAAAAAATGGGATGACAGAATCAGCACAATCAGTGGTCATGACAAACGAACTTCAAAAGAAATCGTCCAACACCTGGTTGCCTGAGCTGAAACAAAAATCGCTATTCTGAAGCCGAGGTCCCAGGGATACCCCCTACCCACAGAACGCCTGCATCAACATATACCACAGCCACATCTTAGCAACATTGTATGGTCATGTATGGTCTATTCTTGGAATCAATTAAATGAGGAAAATGCATGGCGAGGGAATGGACATTGCTTTCAAATATATCATGGACGTCTATGGATCATCTGGGTCATGATATGGCTAGATATAATATAGCCCTAGGGCTCGAGAATTTGCAGCTTTCTGGTTCTAAGGAATTTCAAATGTGCAACCAGGTTTCGGACACCACCCAAGAATCCAAGCACGTCTTTACTAACCGATTCAATGAAATGAGTCTTATTGGAACTCATGTGTTTATTCATGTCAAACTGCAATATATATATATATAGATACCAATTCACACATATAAGTGAAATAGGCCACTATCTATGCTGACGTCGTTGTTTGGTAGTTTGAAGCCCCGTGAAACACATGCTGCCGTCAATGTGGCTTAGCATCCCGCGCAGGATGCATCCTATGGACAATTTGAAACCAGCGACCAGTCATGATTGGTCCCTCCAGTGGCATCTCTTTAGTGGTTACCCTCTGGTAAACTAACATAACTATGGAAAGATCCACCATTTTTAATGGGAAAATCCACTATTTCTATGGCCTTGTTCAATAGCTATGTCAGCCATTACCAGAGGGTATTTGGCATGTTAAAGACGTGAAACCACAAGAAAATGGGGGTCCCAGAATGTCCCAGATGGTCCCAGCTCAGTTTTTGGACCAAAAGCTCGCAGGACATCGATACAAGGCGGAGTGATTTCCTGGGTTGGCGGCAGTGACCTCCCAAAAAAAACAAAAGGATGGACTTTTTGAGGAAAAAAAAACATCTTTGGGGATTCCCCCTTCTGTAAAAATGAATGAAAAAGAAACATGCTGAAACTATTTGGATGTATTTGGGCTTGACTGAAATTAGAGGATACACTCGAATTCCATTGTTTATTGTCAAATTTACTATTCAAATGGTGAGAAATTGTGGGTATCGGTATCCCCTATTTTCACACAGTCCCATGTCAAACCGCCAAGCAGTTGCTGAAGAATTCATGGTTGTCCTCAATTCTCGCTGCCAGCACCTGGAGAAGCATGTGTCGTGCAAGTCCGAAGGCCCTGTGGGCCCGGTTGGCCCAATTGGATCCCGGATGCGCGTGGTCGTAGTCACAGAGATCTTGCCAAAGATCCCAAAGGATCTCCTGTTTTTTTTTTCGGAAAATTGTGTCATCTGTTTTTTTTCCATGCTATGTTTCTTGGATCAAAGTAAATCAAGTATGAATTACATCCATAATTTTAGATCATGGTCGTATCGGTTCACTTGCCTGGAGACTCAAAGAACCAGTACGGTACATAATCCTTTTGCACAGCTGGATTTGTGGAGTGGCAACTGCAAATTGTTCAAAACCATTCTGAGGAAATGATGGTAGACTGGTGACATCTGGAGACCTTTGATCCCTTGGCATGTGACTGAATCCCTACAGTACATGTTCACAACCTCCCAAGATAGGACATGAAAAACGGGATTCTCACTAGACTTGTCACGAGAATTTAAGATCGAGGTGGAGGAAAATATGTCCATAATCCCATACCAATAGATGCCCATGGTACGAGTTTGCTCTATGAGGTCGTTATCATTTTTCCACGACATATACTGGCTCGCGGTTGCAAGTTGCAACCCAGGTTCGCATCTGGGAGGCAAATCGACCTGCATCTTCAGGCCCTTGGTTTGCGTCAAAAAAAATATGCCCCGTCTTCTAATGATTGCAGCGCCGGAATTGGGAGAGTGCCACCATTTAATTCTAGTCTATATTAATACAAATAAATACATGTGTAATTATGTAGAATATATATATATAATATACAAATATATGCACGTACACATGTACGCATGTGCGCATGTACGTATGTACGTATGTATGTATGATTATGTATGTATGTGTATGATTGTGTATGTGTGTGTATGTGTGTATGTGTGTATATGTGTGTGTATGTGTGTGTATGTATGTATGTATGTATGTATGTATGTATGTATGTATGTATGTATGTATGTATGTGTATGTATGTGTATGTATGTGTATGTATGTGTATGTATGTGTATGTATGTGTATGTATGTGTATGTATGTGTATGTATGTGTATGTATGTGTATGTATGTATGTATGTGTATGTATGTGTATGTATGTGTATGTATGTATGTGTATGTATGTATGTATGTATGTATGTATGTATGTATGTGTATGTATGTATGTATGTGTATGTATGTATGTATGTGTATGTATGTGTATGTATGTGTATGTATGTGTATGTATGTGTATGTATGTGTATGTATGTGTATGTATGTGTATGTATGTGTATGTATGTGTATGTATGTGTATGTATGTGTATGTATGTGTGTATGTATGTATGTATGTATGAATGAATGTATGTATGTGTGTAATGAATGAATGAATGAATGAATGAATGAATGAATGAATGAATGAATGAATGTATGTATGTATCTATGTATGTATGTGTGTATGTGTGTATGTATGTATATATTTGTACATGTTTATAGTTAAATATATATGCATATATATTAATATATATATATGTATACATACATATTTATTTTTATATTTACATATGTCTATCTTAATATCTGTATATATGTATTTATTCATATATTTATATAATATGTATATATATATATATATTTACATATTTACATATGTCTATATATATATATATTTAATTATAATATATATATATATATACATATACTGTATAATGGTTATATGTATTTATTGTTATATTTGTTTATATATTAATTATATATATACATACATACATACATATTTACATATGTATATATATATATATGTATAATATATATATATACATATACTGTAAATTAGTTTTATGTATTTATTTATATATTAATCTATATATTAATTAATTAAATATATATATATTCATACATTTATAAATATATATATATTTATATATATAATATACGCGCGTGTGTGCGTGTGTACTGTACTGAAAACAGTGTTTGTTTCCAGGGCACCCAACAAAAAGCAAAAAGGTCCAAGCAAGTCACTAAAAACTCATTGATGCACTAAAACAAGTTTCCGTGGGAGAATTCATGTGGCCATCAGAGCCAGATGCTGGATATGCCACCCAGCCATGGTGGTCTTGATAGCCACAAAACGCAAGAAATGTCCTGGATCGTGCAATGTCACTGTCACAAGATCATCCCCAAAATCTATCAAAATCTGACCTTGATTTTTCACAGAGGCCGCTAATCAGCAACTTTCAAATCAAATTCAACCTCGTACTTCAGTAATTTCAGGTATACTAAGGTGAGATGTTGTGCCCTTCATTGCTGGCATGGCTGATCTTCGACAGCCACCAAGCAAAAAAAAGAACTGGAGTCCACAAGAACAAAGCCTGGCAAAGGGAGTTCCGCATCATGTCCCCATATTTGGAACAATGATCAAAACTTAAGAGGAACTAGAATTGGAAGTGGAAAAATCTCAAATGTTCGAACTAAGACTCTCCACCATTGCACAGAACAATGTGGAGCTGGTCAGCGGAGACTGGCCCAATCGAAGATGATCCTCACAAAGTCGCCGAGCAAAATGATTGAGAAAGTAGCCTGGAATCGTCGTTTTCCTCCCATGGCAAGTGAATGCCTTGAAGATCAAAATCGCAGACACCTTGGATGATCTGCCACTGAAAAGCATGTTCCATATGAAATGATGAATAGAATGCAGTAAGCTAGTCTATATTGGATACATATATAATATTCTGTGTATATGATATATATATATATATACATATTTCTTGAAATGAAAAGACACAGACACAGACACAGACACACATACCCACACACACGTGAAAAATACGTAGGGAATTCTTTGGTTTCTTCATTCATGCACATGGCATATGTTCCTTGGAAAAGAAAATCATGGACTCACCACAATCGGGACACAGATTGGGGGCAGCTCATGAGGTGCTCAGTCGCCCTAAGTCGTCCCTCAGCCCTTGAGGCACAGCGAGTGAAGCTTGGAAGGTCATGATCATCCAGACCGATGTCACGAATCATATTCAGGCAAACAACATCCTGAGCAACACTCATTGTATTCAAAATCTATAGCGTGGAACTGTGCTCGGCAATGAAAATACAGTAATAAAGCATATAAACAATATTAAACAATTATAAACATAGACCCCAGCTAATAAAAGACCAACATAGACGCTCATTTGTATGGGTAAATTGAGGCAAGGTATCGGTTAAGGGCATCGTATGTGTTTCACAAGTCTCAAACTTGGCCCAGAAACCAAGTTGAACGAATCAAGCTGAGATAAACACAGGTCTTGGTCTCGGAATTCAAATTTCATGGCCTTGCGACCAATTCCATTCTGCCTGCTCAAGATGCGACATGAATCCAATAATATGAAATCAAATAGCTCCTTTCGCTGCCGCAAGCTGAGCGGCTCACTAGTGTCAATCCATATGTCCAGATCAGAGATGCCAGGGATCGCCGTTCCATCTGCATACGAACCTGCCATAGAGATCCATAGAGAACATTGTAGCTACCCCTAAGAAAGGAAAGGAGAACGCTGTGACGGTTCGCTTTTAAATGTCGTTTTTTGGCATTGCGTGACTGAAAAATGTGATTATCTTTGCTTACTTCCAAGAATTCTGCATCATGTTTAACAAATTATCATAAATGATCGTTATATTGACAGATTCACTGCACTTTCCGCAGAGTTGC